TGTTTGGGTGCACCGCATTAAATAAATAATAAATAAGTAAATAAATAAATAAGTAATTTAAATAATTAATTTAAATAAATAATATAAATTAACAAATAAATAAGACTAACTAATTAACTAATTAATCAATTAAATAAATAAATATAAAATCCAAACTGCCACTTACTGATCGCAGTGTCTTCTGGATGAATCCGACGCCAAGTCGTCGTAGCACAAACCATATTTTGAGTGCTCGGAATCGTCGTCCCAGAGCAACTTGTAAATGCTAAAAAATCCAATGGTTAGACATCAATTCATAAAAAAAAGTTGCCGACATCTACAGCACACATATAGAACTGACTGTTATACTGTTGTAATGTAACATTATTGCTAAAGCTTAGCTTTGCATGTGAAAATTTTTTATCAAGTTGAATTGGTGTAACCGTCTTAGGGAAGGTGAAGAGCCATGTTTTCCAAGAAAAATGACTGTCAAAGAGAGAAAATACCAAAGTACACTCTTGAATGCTTATGGCGAAGTAATAAGGGTGAGTCCCTTTAGGTCACGGCGCGACTTCGCACCAACTTGCGGCACGATCATTTGGCCCATTGGCGTAGGATCGAGACGAACGCTTCGGCGAGCTTGCAGCCTTGCGTGTTCCCTAATCGAGTCTTCCCCCCTACATTTATCGTTCCGGACGAAATAGGGACAAATAACCCAAACATGAAGGGATTGATGGATTAGTTGGCTGAATAAAGTTTGCGAAACGTGTTTCCTAATCGAGTCTTCCACCCTCTGTACATGCATAGTAGAAGTAAGTGAAAAGTTTTTTCAAGGCACTTCTTGCTGACAGCCTAGCAATTTGCCTTTACTGATGTCCAAAACACTTTTCAAGGGCCAGCTTTTGCCACAAACCCTGTAATCCGCTGCTACTGCCTGATGTTCATGCTTTAGATAGACCGGATCGACGTTGAAATACTTTGTTGCAGTAACACCGTCCTTGAACCTGGAAACATTGGTTTCAGGATTAGGGCGACGCATAGGGTACGACTAGAAACTCTGAAAACCTTGTTAGAAGAATAAGCTTTGGAATAGTAAGTCAGTAGTATACGTCTAACCAATCGAGCCACCTTGCCAACCGAACAGTTCGAGCGCAACCCGAAAAGCTTTGCTGGATGGGAAATGGAAATTTTGACTGTGAATGAGTTCCATGGAGTGTACATATTAGGAGGAGAACGTGGGTTTTGTTTGTATTGGACTGCGAAACTACTATACTACTAATCTTAGTTCGCCAATGGTCTTGCAACATATGGAGTTGCTGTCAGTTTATGATCAACGTTCTTGCCATGTTAGCTACTGTGAGGTGGCTGCTGTCTTGGATAGCACCTTCCCCCCACACTCCCCCCCCCCCACCTCTAACGAGCAGCGGCAAAGGAAATATTGGCTAGCCGGCGACTCATCCTCTTTGAAATTGGTGTCCCAAGAATGCCGCTGAACAAGGTTCACTGTGTCTACACTGACAACTCTCCGACCAAATTCACAAGCATCTAAGTTAGCCAATATCCATGCACCGTGACACAATGACGCGCCACAGTTGATTTTTTTGACGAATTCGTTTCTTTAGGACTCTGAATGCTTGATATGTACTCACCAACATAGGAGAGCAATCAAAGTTGGTGAGCATTGCCTTATGTGCATTGAAATTGTACGAATCCACCAGTTCCATACCATTCGACAAGTAGCGAAACTCGGGGCAAATGAGGAAAGAACCTAAAATACGGATTCAGTACAAATAAAGGTGAAATCCAGTTTGGATGGGGGGACACTCATTGTGTTCTCCCCAATACTCAGGATAAGAGAGAGCGTTCATGGATCGACTTTTCTAAAGTACACCTTGGTTAAGTAGTGTGAGAGTAACCCTGAGGGATTTGGCCTGAAGCGGTCTAAGGAACCCGTCCTGAACCAGGGTAATGGAGATCTTTGCCTAGGGCCCAAGAATGGAGGAGCTCCAGAGTAGACGAGGCAGGATAAGTGGAATGTAGGACATCCGCTCCTTATCAAAACTGCATTTCAAATAGGTAGTTCACATATTACCTTACCCTAAGTGTTATTATCTTACATTAAGAGCCCAGAGGGGTGCTCTCTAGGACTAGAAGAGGATAGCAAGGAGTGCCCCCACCCCCACCCCTGTCGTGAGTCACGGGCTACGTAGTGGTGGTTCAGACATGGACACAAGGGGGTAACGACACAAAGGGGGGGGGTTGGTTTCTACCGCTGCCTCCCGTCCTCCAAGCCTGATCCTGGCGCCCAGTGCAGTCGACTCAGCAAACACTGATTCAGCAATTCAGCATTAATTGGTCAATAAATATTAGAAAGAACCCCTTGAACCACAACCAAACACATGACGATCTGGTGCTATCTTAGTTGGGGGGGGGGGCACGCGGCGGCGCGGCGCTCTGTTCGTCTGCTCCTCCAAAGGCTTAGTCCCAGGGGCAGTTACTATTTCGCCATCACGTGGCAGTTTCGAAATACGCGCCATCGAGGACTAAGCAGGAGACGAACAGAGCGCCGCGCCGCCGCGTGGTCCCCCCCAACTAGGATAGCACCGACGATCTTAATACTTCATGTCAACCGAATTGAAACATTGACAATAAAAATATTACCTATAATCCGACGAATTGACAGTCTAAAGGGAATTCAGAGAATGTTGGTCGAAGCGCAAGGGGGAAATAGGGGGGCAATCGGCGGGAGGGGGAGGGGAAGAGGGACCGCCGCACTGGTGAGACGACGAGGCGAAGCAATCAAGCAATGAATATTTCTCGAAGCGTGCGTATTTTGGCGCGCCAACAGTCTAGCGTTTTTTTGACATGGCAGCTATTGTTAAAGTCGTATTGGCTTTGGAGAGCGGTATTTTCTAGTGGACCATGGAGAGGTCGGTCACGACACTCCGGAGGCACATAAAGATAAATTTGATTCGGCGTAGACATGGTTGAAACTTGATCTGATGGGGTCATGCGCTTCGACCAAGCAACACAAAGGCGATACAAAAAAGGAATCAAGAGATGAACTTAAATTGAGTACACTTCTTCAATTAGTAGGCAGCAAGAAAAATAAAAATTTGCAATATAACCTGAAAAGAGAATAAGAGAAGCGATTGGTAAAAATACGAGATAGGTTTTAGTGAGGATAG